TGGGGATAATGCCACCAACCGGTAAGGTTGCCCATTCCCGCCTGAATCGGGGAGTGGGTGAGCTAATATAGCCGTTACAAGTCACAATCCCGTAAAATGTGGAGTACGGTGATGAGCTCCTTGGGGTTGTCATGCGATGGTCGAGCTGACTGGGAAGCGAGCTGCCCGTAAGGTGCCAGGCTGCTTGGTGGCAGCTGCCTAGTGGCGAGCTGCTTGGTGGCGAGCTGCCTAGTATAATGCCGAGCTGCTTGTAAGTGGCGAACTGTCTATTTGTCACGAGGTGCCAGATATCATAATGTCATTGGAGGGCCAAATCCGCCCTCATCAAAAACCATTTGCTGGAGTGCAGTCCATGACCATGTTTCAAACCCATGAAGATTCTGCAAGTTCTAATCGATAAGATACTAGAAAGAACAGATCGGTACACTCTCTGGTCTCTTGGTCTCTGTTTAGCCTCGATGATGAACGAAAGGCTGAGAGCAAAGAACCTCCGTTCTCTCTCCCCTGTTTCGTCCATAGTTTCTCTCTGATGTCGGCCCTGACTTCATATTCTCGTTAAATAAGGAAAAAATGTATATATTCAAATCACAAATGTTCTTCCACTCCTCTGATTTATTGACGTCAATAAAGCAAAGTTTTACGATGCATATCCTCGGGTGCTTCATGCATTCACGAATTCTGGTGTTGAATTTGTCGTCAGACTCGGAACAGAATAGAAGCTTCATTTTCCTTGGGAGGCTCAGCTTCCCACCAAACTTTTGCCGTTCGAAAGTTATAGCGGCTGTGGTCGCCTGCGACAATAAAACCAAAATCACTACCACCACTACTGCAACTTCCAACAGCAACAATGAACAATAAGAATATTTTATGAATTTTAAAATAATTAATACTCACGTAATGTCATATGTGAATGGAGTATAACAGAAAATTAACAGTAAAAGATGATTTTGACAATTATTAAAAAAAGTTAAGAGTAGCTTAAGACAATATGTAAACAATAAAGGTACATTTCAATTTCGTGAATTGTAAGGATAATTTAAGCATTGTAGGGTCAATTTACACTTGGTACTTGATGTAACCGTTTCTGGTCACGTGCCAATTTTTTTGTGATGTACCAATTTTTTGGCTAAGTACCTCATCATTTGACCTGCTCCCAGGTGGCCTGTGACTCAGAGGATGATGGAGCTCCCTGGTGGGGAACTGCCTGGTGATGAGCTACTTGGTGGCGAACTCCCTAGTGGAGAGCTACCTGGTGACGAGCTCCCTAGTGGTGAGCTACCTTGTGACGAGCTCCCTGGTGGAGAGCTACTTGATGACGAGCTCCCTGGTGGAGAGCTACCTTGGTGGACTCGTCATTTGACCTGCTCCTAGGCGGCCTGTAACTAAGAGGATGGTGGAGCTCCCTGGTGTAGCGCAACCCAACTGCCCTCTGCATGAGGTGATCTCCTCTCCTTTGTAGGCGGTGGGGGCTGCGGGATCTGTGAGAACTGAACCAGGGGGCCCAGGGGTATTTACCCGGCGGAGACTCTCCGATGCCTAAGTTAGCACTCTGATTGTTGAGAGCTTGAAGATGAAATGAGAGCTATGAGAGAGCTAGAGAGCAGGGATTACCTCCATTTTTTCATTCTCTCCCCTTTGTCTTTGGGGGTCGGAGTCCTTATATAGTGGTGTCCTGTCAAATCAGGTGTAACAGCTTCTATCAAGTCAGGCGTAACTGCCTCTATCTCTCTGTCGCAGCCGTTACTGTCAGAGCTGAGGTAGCAGGTGCAGGCGGCTACTACAGAGTACGGATCTGCCAGTCAAGGGACAGCTCTCAAGATTGGCAGGCACGGCGCCACCTAGCGGGAGACGTGGGCGCAGGTCTCCGGATCTGTCAGGTACAGTTGTTAGGCAGGAGATCTTCCTGCGATACGCTGAGCTGCCCCTAAGTGCCGAGCTGCCTGTAAGTGCCGAGCTGCCCCTAAGTGCCGAGCTGCCTGTAAGTGCCGAGCTGCCCCTAAGTGGCGAGCTCTTCGTAAGACGCCAGGCTGCCTGCGGAGTGGCCAATTGCCTGTGGCGAGCTGCCTATGCCGAGCTACCTGTAAGTGTCGAGCTGCCCCTAAGTGGCGAGCTCTTCGTAAGACGCCAGGCTGACTGTGGAGTGGCCAATTGCCTATGCCGAGCTGCCCTAGCTATACCGAGCTGCCTATGCCAAGCTGCCTAGTCGTTAAGAGGCTGCACTTTGGTTTGCATGAGGTGCCAGGTGTCACAATTTCACTAGAGGGCCAAATCCACCCTCATCATTTGCCCCCCACTCCCGAGCTGAGAGTAACTCAGCGAAGGGAGTAGATTTCTTATTTTGGCCCGTAAGTCGACGAGCTAGTAAGTGTTGATCCAATTCCTTAGGCTTTGGGAGCTGCCTGTATGTGGCGAGCTGCCTGTAAGGCGATGAGGTCTCCGCCAGTTTAGTAGTGTAGCCCTTAGGCTCTGGGGGCAACTTATAGTTCACTTTTGCTGATTTTGCTCATGCTGAGGAAGCGAATGGGTATTTAGCAATAGTGTGGCCCGTAGGCTTTGGAAGCGACTCGTAGTCCACTCTTCTTGACTTTGCCCATGCCGAAGAGGCGACTGGGTCTTAAGCAGTAATGTGGCCCGTAGGCTTTAGGAGTGACTCGTAGTCCACTCTTCTTGACTTTGCCCATGCCGAAGAGGCGACTGGGTCTTAAGCAGTAATGTGGCCCGTATGCTTTGGGAGCGACTCGTAGTCCACTCTTCTTTGACTTTGCCCGTGCCGAAGAGGCGACTGGGTCTTAAGTAGTAATGTGGCCCGTAGGTTTTTGGGAGTGACTCGTAGTC